GGAGCTCAATGAACAGAGGGGTGACGTGTGCTCTTTTTGGCTGATTGAAGACCAGACGCGCCGCTGCGTTCTGGACCATTTGAAGAGGTCTCACAGTACAGCCTGGAAGACCAGCTCACGATTCGAATCTTTTAGTGAACCTAATTCATGTTTCTGTGCCATCGTTCGTCGGCTACAGCAGCTTTCAGGGTGAGCCCCTCTGCTTCCACCCGCCTGCAGCTGAAAGTAAAGTAACAGATTCCTAATAAGAAATCATCATATCTGGAGTAAAACATCCATTTTTACAGCAGTTTATGTGTAATTAGATTCATTTTCTAAAGGAATGTATATAAATCAGTCGGTTTTAGTTTTAGTAAAACACATTTTAATAAAAAATAAATACATTCTGATGATTTAGAGGTCATTCTAGTCCTAAAATGAAGGGGAACTGCAAGCAGTCAGAACCCTAAAACAACCCTTTTATTCTCAGTTTGCATAAACTCTAGAGGGACCGGCGGGCTACATGTGGCTCCAGAGCCACAGGTTGAAAACCTTTGGGAGGAAAGAGACTTTATTTAAACCAAAAACAAGTTAAACCTTTAGGGTAAAGAAGAAGTTTAAACATGTGATGTTGATGATACCTGCAGCAGCGGCGAGCTGCAGCGGCGTTTCGGCCGAAGTCTCCTGTCCGTCTAGCAGAGCTCCACCCTCCACGTCAGCGCCGGCCTCCAGCAGCAGCTGCAAGAGCCAGGCAGTCAAAACGTCACATTTCACCGATTCATTCTAGATGCCTCTGGACTCAACTCAAAACCCTCCACACACACAATGCAATTACCCAAAATCTACTGTTTAGGCCTGAGATGCAACAACAACAACAACAACAATAACAACAACAACCAGATGCAGAACTGTCTGTTTCACGTGTTTTTCTCTGGACTTAAAGAGTCTTTAATTTCTGTTCTGGAACATCCCAACAGGACTCACCTGAGCCACACTCATGTGGCCGTGCAGCACAGCGAACGTCAGCGCCACCCAGTGCCGACTACCGTGATGGACCGATGGGTGGGTGGCAGAGCAGACAGGAACCTGAAAAATACAATAAATGTAATTAATGCCAAATAAATGCAGAGTTCATCTAAACCCAAACCAGAGCTGGGTGGTTGTGCTTTTACCTGCAGGTTCAGGTGAGCTCCCGCCTCCACGAGCACCTGCACCAACGCTTCATCTCCTGCAGCCGAGGCGAACATCAGAGGAGTCATTCCCTGCAGGAAAGATTCCTTTCACTTTTCTTTATTTCGCAGATCAGATTTTATTTTATTACACTATAAATAAACAAACAATTGAATTAATCTCTTTACAGCATGACAGGTTTTGCAATCCAGAGTCGCCCTCTGCTGGTGACGACACACATTACAGACTCGAATCGGAGCACCATCCAGGAGGAATCCTTGTTTTTTTCTTTTATTTAGCAATTAAAGATTTCTGACAAAATACTTAAATATAAAAACATTAAAGTACACATAATTCCACAGTAGCTGTAATAAATATTACAATACAATTATAATTCACTGATGACCCGCTCAATCATCCTCAATTAATTTATGATTATTTTAAATTTGAATCACAACAATATTCAGTTTTTTATCTATGATTTTTATTTAATCTAGAAAAAGCACGTATATACGTTATACTGAGCTCAAAAAACAACAAACCCTACATAATTAAACATACGAGATCATTTTTATGCCTCCATCAACAAGTTTTGAGATCATTTCCACAAAACAAATGACTAATTTGTGATGGTACGCCAGGCTTCTTCACTGGCACAGTTTAAATCCAGCCTGAAGACACATTTCTTTAATTTGGCTTTTGGTCAATGATCGATCTTTTATGCTGTGGCTCTTTTTTACTGACTTCTGTTTTTATTGACTTCTCTTTTATTGGCTGTTTTATACATTTGTATTGCTTTTAGGTGTTTCTATTTTATGACAGATTTATCTGTGTTTAATGTGTATGTATGTGTATTTTAAATGGCTTTTTAGGTTTAACTCTGTACAGTGCTTTGGTCAGCTGACATGCTGTTTTTAAATGTGCTATATAAATAAAATTGGATTGGATTAATAATAAAACATTTTAAAACATAATGACTGATCTGAGTTTCCGTGATTAACGGCGAGCCTTCACCTGGTCGTCCATGGCGTTGACGCCTTCAGCTCCCAGAACCCATTTGGCCCGTTGGACCAGATCTGCTCGGCCACACGAGAGCATCCTGAAGCCCAAATCCAGCTGGAACTTGGCTGAAGCAGCTTTAGCATCCAGACTTTTGAAGGACTGGAAACAACACTCGGACCTGAAGGGAAACAAAGAGGATTCAGGAGTTCACGTCTCCTCTGACAGGACCGGATACTCGGATCCAATCGGGTCCCATTCAGCAGAGGAGAACAAACGTCACAAAGATGCAGACTCTGGTCTAAATGAGACCAGACTTGAATATTTATTCTTCTGTTTTTCTTTGGTATTAAAATCCTTTCCATCCTAATGTCGTCATTTATTTATTTATTTATTTAGATTCTGGATCTTTAAACACGTCCAGCTTCTCCTGGTAAACGTGTAAAAATACAGTTAATATGATTTTTCTTGCTTCTACATTAATAATCTGAATTCATGAAACCATTTCCTGTCCAACAACAAAAAACTAAAAAAAAACTAAAATAAAACCTGACTTGGACCAGAACCGAGTTGAGCGGTACCTCAGCTGTCTGGGTACGCAGTCGAGTCCTGGGAGCAGCAGTCGGGCCGCCTGTCTGACATCATCGCTATCCACCAACAAGCTGCGGCGATGTTCTGCGTGCACCAGGGCGACCCTGATCCACTCCATGAGGGGAGGGAGGAGCAGGAACGGCCTGGAGGGAGACGGATCCAATCAGGTTGGTAAATGGTAAAGGGACTGTATTTGATATAGCGCCGTCCTGGAACCCCCCCAAGGCGCTTTACAACACAGTCATTCACCCATTCACACACACATTCACACACTGGTGGAGATGAGCTACGATGTAGCCACAGCTGCCCTGGGGCGGACTGACAGAGGCGAGGCTGCCGAGCACTGGCGCCACCGGTCCCTCCGACCACCACCAGCAGGCAAGGTGGGTTAAGTGTCTTGCCCAAGGACACAACGACAGCGACAGACTGAGCGGGGCTCGAACCCGCAACCTTCCGATTACGGGGCGAGCACGTAACTCCTGTGCCCCCGTCCTGTGCCGCCGTCGCCCACGTTAAAGATACCTGGAGGACGTTCGGGTCCCAGATCAGACCGGACAAACACTCGCCTCTCTCTGCTCAGCATCAGCGACGGAGGATCCAGGTTAGGATTCTCCAGGGATTCCATCTGTGGGCTGGACAGGAAGTAGTACAAGGAGCGGAGAGCGTCTGGACACCACGACGCCGACGGCTGACTGGCCGACCGAGAGCTGCTGATGGAGGGGCTCGAGCTTCTCAGGTGCTGCATATGATGCATCGCTCGGGACACCAGATCACCTGGAGGTCCGAAACAGAAAAAATCCAGGAAACACCTGAGTTCATCGTCCAGGAAGTTAAGGGGAACAACTGGGGTCCAGCGTCGGGCTGAGTGGTGCAAACACAGCAACAGCCACTTTATTAGGTACACCTGCTAAACTACATGTTAGCAGAAACATCCAAGCAGCCAATCAGGAGAGAGCATCAAAACTTTTCATGAGGGCAAAAATCATCAGGTTAAACGTCCTCAGCGGACACAAGAAGGTGATTATTTATAACATATGAGGGTGATTATTTTTCATCTGTCACTGCTGTAAGTAGGTCAAAGTCAGCCGTATCAGTAAAAAATGAACATAAACATGCGGATCTGCACCAGCAGCCCACTAGAGGGGTGCCCCGGAACGTCTACTGGGGCTGGAACGCACAACCCTCCCTAGGGTTTACAGAGACCGGCCTCTGGTCGCAAATAAAAGAAACGAATGAAATGAAAACTTGAGTTTTTGCTCTTCTGAGTTTACGTCGAGTCTTTTTAGAGCAGGGGTGTCAAAGATGCGGCCCGCGGGCCGGATCCGGCCAGTGAGATGGTTGTGTAAACTTTATTTTCATACTTTACAATGTAGAGTGAAAATAAACTTATCTTTGTGAGCAAGTTTCCTCTGTAATGAGTATAAATAAAACAAGAACTTGAGTCACATCCTGAAGTTGGCCGCCACTCAGGATGTGACTTCTGATATTGATGTGCTGGTGAAAGCTAAAAGATGTAAAGTAAAATGAGTCAAATATACTTTAAGTGCTGCATGAAACTGATCTAGCCATGTGATCTGTAAGCTCTTTGAATCACTAAGGAATGTTTTTTTTATTTATTGATTTTTAATTGTTTCCCAAATTTACAAGTACACTTCAGGTGTTGTACTTGTACTATCTTGGATACACTGTCCTCAGGCTCCAGCTTTGTTTTATATTAATTGTATTAAAACAAAGAAAACAATCTGAAGTTGTTTTTAATTTACCGGTCCGGCCCACTTGGGACTAGATTTCCCTCAATGTGGCCCCTGAGCTGAAATGAGTTTGACACCCCTGGTTTAGAGCGTGTGCAGAACGCCGGCCGTTTGGGTCTGAAAAAGGCGCCTGTTCCGACCGGTGAGCAGGTTTACGACCCCGATGCCCTGAAACAGTTAAACTGCTCTTTATATTCGTCGGTAACGAGGGCCGAGATAATGAAGTTGGGCGGCTGCAGGGTGTGAAGGTGCCTCTGTTTGCTGGGTACAAGCCACACGTTGTTACAGGAGCGGCGCCGAGCTGGTAGAGACCAGCGACGTATCCCAGGAGTCCGACAGCAGGTTAAACAAACACTCACTGAGCTCGGTGATGCTGCCCACGCAGGTCGCCAGCAGGGACTGCTCCAGCGTTCTCAGCTCCAGCTGGATGTAAGCATCCTCCATGATCTCCACCGAGTCCTTGGGAGCCTTCATGTACGGGCTGATGTGGGCCGGCAGCGACAGCTCGCCTAAACGATAAAACCAGACACATCAACGCTCACTCATCCTAACCTCCCTGCCACCTTTTGGCTGTTTACTCCTTTTGCTGCTCATCATCGTCACTCATGATTACATTCGACATAAAAACAAACATTTTAGATCCTTCTTTTTTAAATAAAAAAAATAGATTTTATTGAAGAAATATATCAACTATTTTATCAGACTAATTATTGTGCTTTCATTTGTAGTAAATAATGTCCACATGATGCGCACACACACTCACACACACACACACACACACACGAGATTCGGTCTTTGTTCTGCGATCTGCTGACTCCTGGCCTCTGACACAATGAAACAGCCTGACTGAGGACGATCTGCAAAGCCCTTACAGAACAATAAAGCTTTGGGTTTTGAACCCCTACACGGTCACTAGAGTGCAAAAGCAGCTCCAGTTTCTGTAGGAGAGCAAAAGTTGTTCAAGTCAATTCATCCAAGTCCGTTATGATCTAGCAAACATCTGATGAACAGAACTCTGCAAGTCTCTGCTTCTGCAGAAACGCCGAGCTACACGAGACCTCCGACCTGTGAAATAAGAACACTTTTGCACAAAAAACTCTGAACATAGCAGTCATCAGTGGGGACAGGCCTGATTAGCTTTAGCGCTACATAAACGGCCAACGGAGCTCATCAATAAACACCAGACTGGAACACAAGCAGCAGCTGTGGCACAAAGACAGATTCATCACTCTGACCTGGACACACACCTCCGCTCTCTAAAAGCTGGCTTTGTGTGCAACAAGGTGTGTGTTTGTGGGGGGGGGGGGGGTACCTTTCTTTGTTTACAGACCAGAGGTGAACAAGCAACTATTCAGGGGGTCGCAACAAGAGTCCAGTCTGGATTCAACAAAGAACAGATCACTGTTTTCTACTCCCTACCTAACGAACCACCCCCCCAACACACACACACACACACACCTTGGCTCCCGTGTTCAACACTGCCATGCTTATGAACAGAACCAGGAGTGATTAGGTAATTTCCTGCTGTAGCTACGGCTGAATGAAAGCACCACCTAGAGCCTGGAGCTGCAGCAGCATCCTCCCACCTCGGCTGCAACAGAGCTTCAGTCACTGGAAACAACAGCTCTTTCTGCTGCCCGGTAGAGCGCTGCGAGCGTTGGGCCGGGACAACAGAACCACACAGGGTCCGACGTGCGTCTGCTGGATTCCCAGACCAACGGACCAAAATCAGAGCGGCTGGATTTAAAATGCATCAGCAAAAGTCTCAACGTGGTTCTGAGTGGAAAAGGACAAACGTGGTAAAAGCTGAGGAGCAACCAACTGGGTCCAGCGTCTGAGAACAGGAACGAGTTGTCACTCGGGAGGAGTTTTGTTTCACGCTTCTTTACAGAAGCGTCTGAATTCAGCCACAGAGGGTTTTCCAGCAAGGCTGGCCTGTTAAAGGTCAAAGGTCAGATGTTCTGCTAAACAGCAGAATTCATGTTTCTGTGGCACCAAATGGTCCTGAAGCAGCAGAGCAGCCCCTGACCATCACACTGCCACCACTGCATCTGATGTTTTAGTGTTAGTCGACTCCAGACGGAAAGAGACGCACGCCTTCATCTCGTCAGCCCAGAGGATATTTACCCAGAAGTCTTTGGGGTCAACCAGGATGTTCTCATTTTTTTATTCTGACTTTAACCTGAACAGGTGGATGCTTGAAGGCCTTTAGGTGTTTTTCTGGGTTCTTTAGGTCTCCTTCAGAACGGGTCAGGATGTGTGGCCTGTTGGAGCTATTTAGATTAGTTACAGTTGTTGGTTAATGATTTATTTATTTATTTATTTTACACTCAACAAAAATATAAATGCAACACCTTTTGTTTCTGCTCCGAGTTTTCATGAGATGGACTTCAAGATCTAAAATTCATTCCAGATTCACAATATTACCATCTCTCTCAAACATTGTTCACAAATCAGTCCAAATGTGTGATAGTGAGCACTTCTGCTTTGCTGAGATAATCCATCCCACCTCACAGGTGTGCCACATCAAGATGCTGATCTGACATCATGAGTAGTGCACAGGTGTACCTTATACTGCCCACAATAAAAGGCCACCCTGGAATGTGCAGTTTTTTGCTTTATTGGGGGTCTGGGGACTCAGAAACGGTCAGAATCTGGTGTGACCACCATTTGCCTCATGCAGTGCAACACATCTTCTTCGCATAGAGTTTATCAGATTGTCAATTGTGGCCTGTGGAATGTTGGTCCACTCCTCTTCAATGGCTGTGTGAAGTTGTTGGATATTAGCGGGAACTGGTACACGCTGTCGTGTACGCCGGTCAAGCACATCCCAAACATGCTCAACAGGTGACATGTCCGGTGACTATGCTGGCCATGCAAGAACTGGGACATTTTCAGCTTCCAAGAATTGTGTACAGATCTTTGCAACATGGGGCCGTGCATTATCTTGCTGAAACATGAGGTGATGTTCATGGATGTACGGCACAACAATGGGCCACATGATCTCATCACGGTATCTCTGTGCATTCAAAATTCCATCAATAAAATGCACCTATGTTCTTCATCCATAACAGATGCCTGCCCATACCATAACCCCACCACCACCATTGGCCACTCGATCCACAACATTGATATCAGCAAAGCGCTCACCCACACAACGCCACACACGCTGTCTGCCATCTGCCCTGAACAATGCAAACCGAGATTCATCCGTGAAGAGAACACCTCTCCAACGTGCCAGATGCCATCGAATGTGAGCATTTGCCCACTCAAGTCTGTTACGGCGACGAGCTGGAGTCAGGTCAAGACCCCGATGAGGATGACGAGCATGCAGTTGAGCTTCCCTGAGACGGTTTCTGACATGTTGTACAGAAATTGTTTGGTAATGCAAACGAATTGTTTCAGCAGCTGTCTGAGTGGCTGGTCTCAGACGATCTTGGAGGTGAACCTGCTGGATGTGGAGGTCCTGGGCTGGTGTGGTTAAACGTTGTCTGCGATTGTGAGGCCGGTTGGATGTACTGCCATATTCTCTGAAACACCTTTGGAGACGGCTTATGGTGGAGAAATGAACATTCAATGCACGAGCAACAGATCTGGTTGACATTCCTGCTGTCAGCATGCCAATTGCACGCTCCCTCAATGCTTGTGGCATCTGTGGCATTTTGCTGTGCACACTCCAAGGTGGCCTTTTGTTGTGGGCAGTATAAGGCACACCTGTGCACTACTCATGATGTCAGATCAGCATCTTGATGTGGCACACCTGTGAGGTGGGATGGATTATCTCAGCAAAGCAGAAGTGCTCACTATCACACATTTAGACTGATTTGTGAACAATGTTTTAGAGAAATGGTAATATTGTGTATCTGAAATTAATTTTAGATCTTTAAGTCCATCTCATGAAAACTCGGAGCAGAAACAAAGGTGTTGCGTTTATATTTTTGTTGAGTGTAGTTTTTCCTGTGAGAATCAGCCAGGAAGAAAAGAAGTGTTTTGTTTTTTATAAATATGGGGACTGGTGTTGGACCACTGGGGTGGGCCTATAGTTTTTTACCAGAGCAGGAGAAGCAGCAGGAAATCAAGAATCTGAATTTGGACACAGATCAACTTCAGATTGAGAGAGCATTGGGCCTACAACTGTAACTAACCTAAATAGATCCAACATTGCCTTTTTGGATCCTCTAGCCAACATTGAGTCAGAAAAAAGAAAAACTGTGTGTGTACACAGAAGAGAGAGAGAGTGTGTCCTGTAGCTGTGTGACACCACGTGTCTCTCAAACGGACGGCTGGTTTGTCTCTGGAGACGACTCGGGGAGCTGCGAGCCTCGTGTCTCGCTGCCCGACAGCCGAGGAGAGAGAGAGAGGGAGAGCTTGTGTCGGCCAAGGGGGTCGGAGGCTAACGTCGCTCACCCACCTCTTCCTGTTGGGTCTCCGGGGAGGCGGAGGCCTGTATCCCAGCATGCATCAGTCAAGATTCAGTGTGTCCCTGAGTGAGCCTGATTTAACATTTAGTTTTGTAAACAAGAGTCAAAAAGAGTCAAAGCTGCTCAGATTTAACCTAAAACTTCAAATAGGAACACTTGGGACTCTGAACAGAGACCAGAAACACAAACAGGTCAGGTCTGTCTGAAAATCCCTTCAGATTAAAACCCAAAAGCTCAGATTTGTTTATTCCACACCTGCTAGTGACGTCATATTGCTTATGCTGATTGGGGTCATTGTTTTTCTTTCCGGCTTTGTTCTCGTTTGAACTCCCCTTCAGCTCTTTAACCAGTTTTAAAGGGAACACCGGGAAGCATCCAATAAAACACCTGAACCACCTCAGCTGACTCCTCTCAATGAGGAGGAGCTGCTCTACTGAGCTCCACTCAGATGATGGAGCTCCTCTCTTTAATGCTAAGGGTGAGTCCAGCCGCCCTGAAGAGGAAAATCCTTCAAGACGTTTGGATTCTTGTTGTTTTTGGTCCCAATTCAGACAAACCAGCAAATCTCCTCATCATCCCTCATTTCCCGCACCCTACCACCAACCAGGAACCAAGACACATCTTATCCATTTAATCCTCAAACACAAAACATCTAAAACAAGCCAAACGCTGCAGCGCAGCAACATTTACCTTTTATTCATTCTGGTGTTTAAGATCACAGCGTAATCCAAAACTTCCATTGCTCTCAGATTTCTAAAGGAGTTCAGGTTGCAACGAAAACTGTATTTGATGCATCTTAAAACAAATAGTGACGCGTTGTGGTTTTATTTTGAAAATCCCTATTTAAAATGAGATTTTAGTAATCCTAGAAGACTTGTGAGTTATTAAGCTGGGGGAACGTTTTTATCCAGAACACCCAGAGTGTTCAGCATCTGTCTGACTTTTATCAGAAAGCTTCGTCTACTTCCGACTTATTACCCAAATCACCCACTTCCTGTCTGAGGGCGCTTTTCAAACCGTGCCCTCCGGTGGAGGACTTCCTAGTCTCCTGGTAATTTGTGCTCTTGGAGAAACTTGGTGTGCTCGTTAACTCGCCTGCCCTGCAGGGCGGTCAGAGCCAGTTTACAGAAGGAAAAACGTGTTTCCTGCTTCAGCCGCTGCCTCAGAATATCAGCAACGCTTCGTTTGACACAAAGCGTTTTTAAATTCACATTTTAGGAAGAATTTCTGAACAAACTTGATTTTATTCACGTTTTCATTCATAAAAATGTATATTTTCATTTATTTACACTCAGCTACTTCATTACCTGCTATTAAGGCTGCACCATGCTGGAAAAATTGAGAATCACGATTCTCCCACGATTTTTTTTCCCCAATTTTATTACATTTAAAACCTGCACATAAACTTTTTTAACAGCTTAAACTAAAATAAAAATAAATTCATCTCGTTTTTTCTTAAATAAACCACCTTTGTATCGTTTTAACAACAAATATGAATAATATTCTTTCTACGTGCAAGGTGATGAGAGAGGTAGGTAATAGGTAGGTTTCTTAAAATGCAAACCACAATTATTAACATAGCCTCTAACTCGACCACATGATGGTTGACCATGGCAGGACCACAACAGAGAACAGTCCTTTTTTTATGCAGCCAGCTGCTAAAAGGCTTTTTACCAAGAACACCAGTCGGTCAACATTTTGAGGCTTCAGCGAGGAGCGGAGAATCACACACACACACACACACACACACACACACACACACACACACACACACACACACACACACACACACACACACACACACACACACACACACACACACACACACACACACACACACACACACAGACAATTTAGACAGACCAGTTAACCTAACAGTCATGTTTTTGGACTGTGGGAGGAAGCCAGGGTACCCGGAGAGAACCCACGCATGCACAGGGAGAACATGCAAACTCCATGCAGAAAGGTCCCAGGATGATCCGGAGACGTGCTACAATGTCGCCCCCCCCCCCCCCCCCCCCCCCCACACACACACACACACACACACACACCCACACACCCATGCTGAACACCCTTCCAGAAGGGGAACTTGTGGCAGGAATGCAGAGGTATTTCTTGGCCAGCACAGACAGTCTTGGAAATTCTCCCTTGTGTTCCTTCCACCAGACTAAGGGGTCCGCCTCGCTGTCACTGTTGCTTAAGAGCAGAGATGACTGTAGCTCTGAGGCAACACCTTCAGCCTGGAATGGCTCCTCGTTGCTTTTTGCTGCTTTCGGGAAGCTGCCTAAGGTCTTTCGGCTCTTCATGGAGGCGGCCGGGGCTGCGGTTGAGGTGGGACTTTGCTTTAAAAGAGAGAAGATAATTCTGCGATGGGCTGGCTCTCTGTCCAGGGTGTACCCCGCCTGACTGCCCATTGACCGCTGGAGATACGATGTTGACAGGAGCCATATCTTTAGCCAGGTGATAGGTGATAGCCTCCATCATTTCTTTGTGCCTGCGGGAGTTTGACGGGTATAGAGAAGCGCTGCATAAGGTCTCCGTTTTGGATGTCTGGGAGGTTGACCGGGAAGGACTTTCTCCTGGTGTTTTCTTGCCCTTTACAGCGTCATCATACTGCACTCTATGGTGACGTTCAAGTTCGTAGTGTTACCTTGTGGTGCTGCTGCTGCAAAGTTGCATCTTTTCGATTTTCGTCGTCTGTTTTGAAGCCAAAAAACTTCCAAATCACGGAATCAGAACCTTTTTTTGGAATTAACGTCACTGTTTGGTTGTCCTTCGCACCACAGTCGGCGAGGTTTTCCTCCGCTGCTCGCATTTTTGGTTTTGCTCCTCCAGTCAGCTTGTCTCACATGCTCTTGTTGTTTATTTCCTGCCGGCTGCGTTCTGCGTGACGTGGTAAAAGGTTCCGTTTTATTTGTTGAAGGAGAGGGAGCGCTTGTTTTCATGCAGATGATGTCCCAGTTTGAAGTGCGGTGCAACAGCCGTCTTCTTTTTTCTCTTTTTTAATGTAATCGTCGTCACGCCAAAACGAGATTGCATAAAAGCGTGAATCGAGATCGAGATTTTTTAACGATTAACTGTGCAGCCCTACCTGCTATTATCATCACGATGTGTCTATTACTTCTTTGTTGATTTCTACAAAGTTAGAATTTAAATTTCGAGCTAAACTGAGCAGCAGGTTAAACTCACTCAGCTCGGATTAGGATTAGGGAGGAATTTATGGAACTTTTATTCCAAACTTTAGGAATTGGTGAACTCACCGTTTGCATTCCTCCCACATATGAGGTGTTCATAGGGCTGCAGCACCCCCCACAGCTCCGCGTCGCTGCTCACGGTTCTGTCCAGCAGCTCCGGACCCACCGGGCAGCAGGTGGACCTGTCAGACCGAGCCCGCACCTCCTCCTCCAGCCGCAGCGCCCGTCCGACCACTTCCTCCGCCAGACTCTCCATGCAGGCCGTGAGACAGACGGCTGCGTACTCGTGCACGCGCACCGACACGCGTGTTTCCACCATCCACCTGAAGAAGCGACCCACGGGAAGCGTGAGCCCGCAGCGGGCGGATTTGCGCAGCTGACGCGCGGTTCCGCCGGAGCTCATGCAGTGCAGGGTCACGGCCCTCACGGCGGAGGAGACGCACCTCTCGGCCAGACCCCAGCTCAGGACGAGCCTCACGGCGCTCTGGACCTCCTGACGCGTGCATCGCCGGTGGAGCTCACTCAGCCGCTGCGCCTCCCGGGAGATCCGAACCAAAGCCCTCCGGAGCAGGACGGACAGTCGGTGGACTGCTTCCAGGCTGATGGAAGCTTCTGATCCGGAGACTTTACGCACCACTTCCTGTAGCTCCCCTTCAGTCCAAGGATACTCCTCCAGGTCAGGCAGATGGGGACACTTGGACAGGATGTCCACAGCGTCCTCCGTCAGAGTGCTCACTGTGTCCCAGCTGCCGTTGTGCTGCCACCAGGAACTCCGGCGAGTGCCAGCATGAGGCTGCGTCTGTCCCGACCTCCCGGAGGAGGACAGGCTGAGAGACGGGCAGAAATCGCCGGCTGCGTAACCAGAATCCAAGCTCATGTCCTCCAGTGCTTTCGCTAAAATGGAGTTGGACATGTTGTGATAGAATTCAGGAAATAAAGTCCAAATTTACGCGCAGTGGAGAAACGTTTCCATCAACAAGTTTGACTGCAGAGCAACGGAGACTAAACTGCCAGCAACCTAAAGGGGACACGCGCTTTTTACGCACAGCTGACCAATCACATTCAGAGTTCACAAACACACCCGGACCGGGTAACTGCTGCCCCACAGCGCCCCCGACTGGCCTCCATACAGAACACAATTAAAAAAGATAAAGACGTCAACAAACTTCAACATAATACAGTGTTTAGCAACACATTTATCAAAGGTATTTCTATTAATTTTGTACATTTTTCCTAAGCCTTTAACATTAACTGTTCGTGATAATTTTTTGGGGGAGTAATCAATTATAAAATTAACTTTTAAATAATTAAGTCCCCATAATTTTGATTTTCATGATTCTCATTGAATCCTTAAGGCTTTACATTAGCACAAAACCGCGACAGGTGCGGTCAATGTCAGCGAATTAGCTCATAGCTAAGCTAACGAGCATGTTGATATAGAAGCTATAGCTTCTTCTCATGCTATAAAGTGCTATATTCAAAATATCAATGATGAAATAAACAGGCGTATTTTTCCACACATTAATAAAAACAACTGTTACTCACCAGACGGAATCTACAGGGAAACGTTTAAATCAAGGAAAACGAAGGATGCTAAGGCTAAGGCTAACGCTACTGCTAGCTTCAGTGTCACTAAAGCTGCGTTTACAGAACAAAATGATGCGTTTAAGTATTTACAGTCTATGGTTTAAGGCCATTATGTAAAAAACAGCGTTTGTTGGATTTTGTGTCTACAAAAAGTGTTCTTTGTATAAATAAACTTTTAAGCTAATTGTTGGTAATCTGTCATTTGATTTGATAATTTCTCAAAAACCGTGAACTCAATTCTTTCTGGTTTTCCACAGTAGAGATTGTCCGCCCTCTGCTGGACGAAAAACGTTACTACAGGAAGCGTTTATAAAGCGTAACATGACAAACTCATAAGCACTTCCTATAGATTCCTTCAAAATAAAACATACACACAGCGGGTTCCAACAGCGTTTGTTCAAATAACGGGAAGCCAGAACGTATTTGCTTATAAAAACTACTTAAATATGAAAACTCAATTAATCTATTAAGTTAAATGTATTCACGAGCTAAAGCAGGCAGCTAGCTACAGTACTACAAACACATCAGATCATACGTCCTCTGGCGGCCATAGGGCGAAAACAAATCCACGGTAGATTTAGGGATTTCCCTCTTAATAAAATAAATTAGATTATTAATAGGTAATATAAAATAAATATATTTAGTTACAAGTTTTGCCAGCATACTTTTGTACTTTTGAATAAAACATAATAAAAAAACTTGTTTTTTAATGAAAACAAATACAAAACAATTTGTTAAAAAGGCTAATGAAAAACTGAGTAAATCTTTGATCACAACAGCTGATTTAATGTGATAAACTTGATTAATCAGATAAATGGCAAAATTTCAAATTATATTTATATGATTTAAAAGGCTAAAATTAGAATAAGGAAAGTTAAAATAAGGAAAGTCTCAATCAAAAATTTTTGTAAAGGTTGTCAGCCCTGAATTATTTATTTCTAAGATGTGTAAAATTCTGCATTCAGATTCATTTGACTGTCCTGTTGACTTTGTTCCACCAGACTACATACAGGTCACCTGGGTACCTTCAGTTAAAAAAGGGGGTGATGTCACCAACGTCGCTTTAGAAAACACAGAAAATAAAGGACATACAACTAATTATTGTTTCAATAACAGCCTTTTATCAACTCCTCCATATTAGGGACTAAATACATTAATGATCAAAATTCAATTCAATTCAAATTGAATTCAATTCAAAAATACTTTATTAATCCCAGTGGGAAATTGATTAAATTTGTCCATAAAACCTTTTCCACAAAAGTTTTAGCACGTAGAGTCATGAATCATGTTAACATAAATAAAAGCAATGGCTCCATATTCTATGATTTTCAAATTCCAAATATGATTTTCCAGAACGTTTCTAACCATCTACATCAGAAAACCTTAAGTGACCTCTAGAGTTCAGGGTTTCCTTATTTCTAATCACAGAGCTGAACACGTTTCTACATTCAACTTGGTCCCAGTTCTGTTTACCTACTGGATCTACTGGGAACCTAACACCAAATAATTTAATATACCTACAGACACTTTTCCGTGTGCAAGAAATAAAACGACCTCCTTTCAGGGAGGACATATGTTGGTTGCATTTTCTCAGAGATTAATAAATTACTGAGCTTCGGTGAAACGAGCTCATGGAGTACAATCATTAGCGTGAGCCAGCTCACAACGTCCGGGTTCGTGGAGTCGGATCACCGAACGACGCCAACAGAACTGAAGCCCATCCGAGTAAGGCACCGAGACGTCAGTACCAAAAATAAAAATCACACCAACTCTGCTAGCGAACGCTTTACAAAGGCAGACCGGGAAGGACCTCCATGTGACAAAACATTACAAAACTAGAAGTGTTTTTCTGCTCTAAAGGGCAACGCCACGCGGTCAAACGGTGGACGTTCAAAGGCTCCAGAGTCCTGGTGGATGTAGCAGCAGATCAGAACATCAGCTGGACAAAATACTCCAAGTGCTGTCGGTCAGAAAAGACGTGGTTTGGGATGAGGAGATGGATCGGGTTTGTTCTCTCTGGAGGTTTGAATGCAGCTCCGGGAGAAAAACTCAACTTCCCATGATGCAACCTGGTGTTTCAATCAGCGTTTACTCTTCTGCCCGCAAGGTTCTGGGTTCAGACCAACCTGAGTGAACTAACCTGAGATCTTCATCCTCGAGGTGAGACAGCTGGAGAATGTCCCTCTGTACGGTGTCCACGTTGGGACAAAAGAGTCAGAACTCAGATCAAACCCACTCAGCTGTCAGACTTTACAGGAAAGTCTAGAGTCCCACATCTGAGGCCGTTTGGTCAAAAGCTTTTAGAACACCTGGAGATGTCCTAAAAAGGACACCGTACTTCAGAGCTACTGCAGAGTTCAGACGTTTGGTCCAAACTAAACTCGTTTTTATCCAACATCCATCAAGTGAATCTGGGAGAAAACGCTGCTAAAATCCAAATGAAACTCCTTCAGACCTTCAGAAAGTCCGGAGAACAGTTGATCCAGAACCATTTTAATGGATTACAGGAACGTCTGGCTGCTGGGGACCTGGTCCGGATCAGAACCTTTTACCGGTTCTGTTTCTGTAAACAGGCTCCGATTATGGAGAAAACACAGAGAAGCAGGCCAGAAGATTAGTTCACAACAAATCAACACTCAGCAGGCCGAAGAGCTCCGTAAACATGATCTGTGTTGTTCTGGTTTGTGTTTCAGAACCAGACCAAAGTAGGAGCAAACCACGTCAAGACCACCAGGATGAGACCAGGAGGAGACCCAGTAAAGACCACCAGGAGAAGACCAAGTGAAGACCACCAGGAGACCCGGTAAAGACCACCAGGAGGAGACCCGGTAAAGACCACCAGGAGGAGACACGGTAAAGACCACCAGGAGGAGACACGGTAAAGACCACCAGGAGGAGACCAAGTGAAAACCACCAGGAGACCCGGTAAAGACCACCAGGAGGAGACACGGTGAAGACCACCAGTAGGAGACCAAGTGAAGACCACCAGGAGGAGACCAGGTGTAGACCACAAGGAGGAGACCAGGTGGAGACCCGGTAAAGACCAGCAGGAGGAGACACGGTGAAGACCACCAGGAGGAGACCCGGTAAAGACCACCAGTAGGAGACCAAGTGAAGACCACCAGGAGGAGACCAGGTGTAGACCACAAGGAGGAGACCAGGTGGAGACCCGGTAAAGACCACCAGGAGGAGACCAAGTGAAGACCACAAGGTGGAGACCAAGTGAAGACCACAAGGAGGAGACCAGGTGGAGACCCGGTAAAGACCACCAGGAGACCAAGTGAAGACCACCAGGAGACCAAGTGAAGACCACCAGGAGGAGACCAGGTGTAGACCACAAGGAGGAGACCAGGTGGAGACCCGGTAAAGACCACCAGGAGGAGACCAGGTAAAGACCGTCAGGAGGAGACCAAGTGAAGACCACCAGGAGGAGACCCGGTAAAGACCACAAGGAGGAGACCAGGTGGAGACCCGGTAAAGACCATCAGGAGGAGAGCAGCAGGAGACCAGCTTCATAACTCCACTCCTTCACTATAAAAACTTCTCATCCTTCAGACGGACCTAATGGGTCCATTTCATCCAAACCGGTTCGGAGCTGAAACACATTTTGAACACAAACATGTGACTGAAAGCTCCTTATTGTAATAATTAAACTTCACTTTAAACAAAGAATCTTCTGAACTTTCATTACGGCTCTGTAGGAGTCCGAGTTTCCGTACTCCTGGAATGGTGCTGGTCCATCTGCTGAGTCAGAACCTCTGGTTCTATACCCGGGTCCTGGTCCCTGGCTACCTCTACAGCTGTCAGA